AGTCAAGTGGGGTGCTTCAAGGTGACGTGGCTTGCCTCTGAGCCTAGGTGCAACAAGGACTATCACAAAGCTCAGAGACATGAGGGGGGTGTCACGTCATCCTGAAGTGCTTCACTCAATTGTGATTGGACAATGTTTTTAATAGGAGACCCTAATGTTCATGTTTTTATTCATTTTGTTATGGTATTATTATACGATTGTTTTTATTGTATTCAAATTGTATTTTATGGCCTTGGCACCAACTGTAAACTGCCCCAAGTCGCCTGCGGGCTGAGGGGGCGGTATATAAATATAGTAAATAAATAGATAAATAAATAGTACTGCAGTAAATAAATAAATAGTACTGTGGTTTTTTCGTTTACATGCTTCCCTCCTCGGGCTCGGGAATGTTGTTCCTTTTGAGACTCTCGATTGCCTCGGTACCGTGATTGTACTATGGCGTTTATTTTCATGCAATTATAATATATGTGCCCTCATTTCAATGAGTGTGTTCATACTGTGGTAATGGCCTTCTTTCTGGCCGAATGAGGATCACGAACTCCTGTTATAAATGTGTTGTTCCCCTTCTTTCAGGGGGTACTGTGGTTTTTGATAAAACTGTTTGGTCCTTCATTAAAGGGTCGGTTTGTTTTTCCAACCTCCGGGACCTCAGCTTGCTAGTCTCCACATGTGTGCATTCACAGAGACCACAAAGAAAAATGGTAGGTTACATACCTGTGACCATCTTTCTTCGAGTGGTGCTCTGTGAATTCACACAAACACGCCCAGCCTCCCCTCTAACAAACCTCCGCCTTTCTCACTGCCGTGCAGCATAGGAACTGCTGAGTGTGCGCGCGGGGCACCTTTTATGCCCTGCCGGGGACTGGGCAGGGTTACCGCCAAAACTTGTAAAGTTTAAACTAGGGAAGTTTCCGTTGGTGCCTGCACAGGCGCAGATACTCCACATGTGTGAATTCACAGAGCATCACTCGAAGAAAGATGGTCACAGGTATGTAACCTACCATTATTGTATACTAGCTGTACCCGCCACTCATTACTGTGGCCAACATTCCCTTCCCCTTTCTTTCCTCCTTTCTTTCTCTCCTTCTTTCTCTTCCTCTTCCCTTCCTTCGCCAACCCTTTTTCTTTCCTTTCCTCTTTCTCCCCTTTCTTCCTTCTCTACCTATTCTTGCACTGCAACTTCCAGCAGTCCTCCCGATCAATCTATCTAAATACCTACCTATCTATCTAATCCATCTATCTGGAGGACTGCTGGGAGTTGCAGTCCAGGAATAGGAAATTGGAAATTGCAGGCATTGGGATGCTCTCAAAGAAATCCAAGGAGAGAAAGCTTGCAGCTTGAAAGCAGCTCATTTGGATCATCCTCCCCTACTAAATGGCCTGGTCTAGGGGATGCTGGGAGCTGTGGCCTGGAAGAGAGTGTGTTTTTGTTTGCCAGGGGGAGTTGGTTTTGCGCATGCGCTGTAGCGTCTTTTTGCTTTTTTGGCCTATTAAGTCCCATCTGTTGTGTTTTTAATGTTTTTATGAGTGATGGTCACTTGTTGGCCTGATAGGTGTATTGTGTCCAAATTTGGTGTCAATTCGCCCAGTGGTTTTTGAGTTATGTTAATCCCACAAACGAACATTAAATTTTTATTTATATAGATATGTCTGTATCTCTTATAAAGGGTTGGTTTAACTCGTTTGCTAGTAAAACTGAATTACTGTATTGTAAAATCACACGTTTGAAAAGTGGGACACTAGCATGAAATGTTTGGACCGCTCTGCTGTAGGCCTCCACCTGCCTTCTTATGAGCTGATTTCATAGGAGATGGGATCATTGAACCTTATAATTGCAGCACATTGTTGTGCTTTCTCTTTTTCTATCTGATTGTGTGGCAGGGGTTGCAGAAAGTTGACACAAATGTAACAAATGGAGCTCAGCCAGGATAAAAGTGCAATATCTCCTTCTTCCCCCAAAGGTGGATCCTGGCCCCATCCACTGCTACTACCTTTCTTTCATATTTTGGAAGTTGCTCTTCTGGAGAAGATGAAACTGATATCAGTGTGGTTAAAATGTGTGCAATAAAGTAGTTGGGTACAAGAAGTTAGGAACATGATGTTGAGTATTTGGGTTTTGTTTTTAAATTTTATTTTTAAATTGGTTTTGTAGTCCAATGTCTTTAAATGCAGTATTTGTCTAATGTTTTGAGTATGACAGTGTTTCTCAACCTTCCTAATGCTGTGATCCCTTAATACAGTCTTTCATGTTGTTTCGTTGCTACTTCATAACCATAATGCAGGATGTATTTTCAGTCACTGGGCACAAATCCTTATACACCCAAATTTGAATACTGTTGGGGTTCTGGGAGGGGGGATTGATTTTGTCATTTGGGAGTTGCTGGGATTTATAGTTAACCTACAATCACCAGCATGCAAAAGAATGAGGAAGTACTCCATCAGTGTCACCAGGGGCAGCCCGTCCATTACGCGAAGTAAGCTGTCGCTGAACACTTTTTTTTGCCAGGGGCACAGAGGCGCCTCTGAAAATGCCCCTCGACCGCCACTTGAGGAGCGCCCCCTCAGCTCACAACAGCCCTAGCAGTCCGGGGGGAGCCTCGGCTTTCTTGCCTCGCTGCCGTGTGATCCCAAAGGGGCCGGGCCCTTGAGCCTCGCCTAGCCCCTCTCGTTCCTGCTCCACCCGGCCACCGGGTGCGTGAGCAGAGCCAGCACTCAATCGTTCTCCGCGTTCGTTCCCTTCCCCATGACCGGCTCCCTTTCCCRATCCCACGGTGCTCCAACCCTCTCCTCTCCTCTCCCCAATCCGCGGGTGGGCCAAGGGGCGGAGCTGCCGCACCTGGCCCGCTTCGAGTCCTGAGGYGTGCCTGAAGACCCCAGCATGCGCACCAAAAGTCACCTCTTCTCCTGATTTTCTCTTCAGCCATTGGGATCAAGAGAGAGAGAGAGAGAGAGAGAGCCCCTCCGGCTGGAGGTATCTCCCACCTCCACTCCCTCCTTTGTTTTTGCGGCTACCTTCAGGAAAGGTGGGCATCTCCACCTCTCTCTTTCTCTCTCTCTTGGTCCCAATGGCTGAGGAGAAAGTTAGGAGAAGAGGTGACTTTTGGTGCACACGCCGGGGTCTTCAGGCACGCCTCCAGACCCAAAGCGGGCCAGGCAAGGGAGCAAGTGTGGCAAGTGTAGTTACTGGGATGTATAGTTCACCTACAATCAAAGAGCATTCTGAATTCCACTAGTGATGGAATTGAACCAAATATGGCACACAGAACTCCCACGACAAACAGAAAATATATATCAATGATTGGTTGGGGAGGGGGGCGCCAAAATACTGTTTGCTTACCATTGAAAATTACCTAGGGCTGCCTCTGAGTGTCACAATAATAATAATAATCTTTATTATTATTATACCCCGCCACCATCTCTCCAATGGGGACTCGAAGTGGCTTMCATGGGGCCAAGCCCAGACAACATATTACAGCAAAAATAAAACCAAAACATAAGCAACAAGCAACAGCATCAAAATTACATAAGGAAAAAAACCATATGAATTCTGTAACAAAATAACATTACAGTAAACACAATAGCAGAGATAATGGGCGGGCCACATGTACAGGATAAAATGTTAAAAAGAACAGGAGCAAATTATTTGGAGGGAGCTCATAAAGAAGTGCAGGGTTGTGAAACTAAACTTCCCATAATCACAAGTAGATGATGAAGCGACAGCTCCCCCGGTGGCCAGAATTCAAAAAACATACCCTCATGAAGCTGGAAAGTTAAATAGCCTCTGTGTCACTGTCTATATATGTTGTGTGTCTATGGCAGGGGTCCTCAAACTAAGGCCCGGGGGCCGGATATGGCCCTCCAAGGTCATTTACCCAGCCCTCACTCAGGGTCAACCTAAGTCTGAACCAACTTGAAAGCACACAACAACAATAATCCTATCTCATCAGCTAAAAGCAGGTCCACACTTCCCACTGAAATACTAATAAGTTTATATTTGTTAAAATTGTTCTTCATTTTAATTATTGTATTTTTTTTAAAGTGTTTTTTGCACTACAAATAAGTTATGTGCAGTGTGCATAGGAATTCATTCATGTTTTGGTTTTTTTACAGCCCTCCAACAGTTTGAGGGACTGTGACCTGGTCCTCTGTTTAAAAAGTTTGAGGACCCCTGGTCTATGGCATTGAAAGTTTGCCATGTATAGGTGCATTGTGATCCGCCCTGAGTCCCCTTAAATAAATAAATCAGAGAATATTCTGAACTCCACGAATGATGGAATTGTAACAAACTTGGCACACAGAATTCCCATGACCAACAGAAAATATTGGAAGAGTTTGGTGGGCATTGACCTTGAGTTTTGGAGTTCACCTACATCCAGAGAGCACTGTGGACTCAAACAGTGATTGATCTCGATCAAACTTGACATGAATTCTCAATATGTCCAAATGTGAACACTGGTGGAGTTTGGGGAAAATAGACCTTGACATTTGGGAGTTGTAGTTTGGGGATTTATAGTACACCTACCACCAAAGAGCATTCTGAACCCCACCAATGATAGAATTGGGCCAAACTTCCCACACAGAACCCCCATGACCAACAGAAAATACTGATGATCTTTGGCGACCCCTCTGACGCCCTCCCCCCCCTTGCAACCTCCTCAAGGGTCCTAATCCCCAGGTTGAGAAACGCTGGACTATGGGAAATGGGACATAGCTCAATTTTCTGAAGTGGAAACAGAAGTCCTTTTGAGAAGAGTACTATTTTTGTGTTACAAGGAGCATGTTCAATATGTGCCTACTGCAAAGGAGAGTTAGTTTATTTTAGTTCCACTTCTGTAAAACAGACCTAATCGCAGAGAAGGTTATCTTCGAAATAGAAATCTTTTGACTGAATAATAGCCCAGTTGACTACGATCATTTTTCTAGTTGATGAAACTTGTGCTTCTGCGTGTTGGAGGTCAGCTTTATTATTTCATTCATTCTGTGTTTTATATAACATCTAGGAAACGAGAATTCGTGCTGTAGATAAAGACACTCAGAAAAGAAACAATAACTTTTCTGTTATCAACCCTGAGGCTGGTGAGGCTGTGACTCAGATTTTTGCAGTTGAAAGCCGGGAAGACCTTTATAAGTGGATGGAAGCGTTCTGGCAGCACTTCTATGATTTCAGTAAGTAGCTTTGTCTCTTTTGTACCAGAGCGCCTATATAAGTTCAAAAAAAATGCACTGAACATTTTGAACTGGCATTGCATAACAGTCCTGTCGTTTGAGAGGAGGAGGGAAGAAAACTCTCCTTTCCAGCACACAGATAAGTTCTGCAGAGGAAGAGCAGGAAATCTTTAAAATGCCATAATCTAATCCGTCTCTGTTTTATATTCTTGATACTGTGGAATTTCAGGGGGAAAAGTCTGTTGGAATTTTATGCACTTTGTAGTAGCGGTAGGGAGTATATGTCAGGTTTTAAAATTTATTTTGCAAACAAATCTCACAACCAGCTGAGCACAGTCACTCCGGTGAGATTGCAGTGCCCTTCTTCTACTGCAGTCATTTGTTATTAAGTTAATGGATGTTTATGTCAAGGTGAAATATCTCAAAATAATAGCTCTAAAGTATATATAACTCATGAAGATGCAGCTTGGTCATGCTATGAGAATTGTTGGTCTAAATCAGGGGTCCTCAAACTAAGGCCCAGGGGCCGGATACAGCCCTCCAAGGTCATTTACCCGGCCCTCACTCAGGGTCAACCTAAGTCTGAAACGACTTGAAAGCACACAGCAACAACAACAACAATCCTATCTCATCAGCCAAAAGCAGGCCCACACTTCCCACTGAAATACTAATAAGTTTATATTTGTTAAAATTGTTCTTCATTTTAATTATTGTATTTTTAAGTGTGAAAAAGATCTTGGAGTCCTCGTGGACAACAAGTTAAACATGAGCCAACAATGTGATGTGGCGGCAAAAAAAGCCAATGGGATTTTGGCCTGCATCAATAGGAGCATAGTGTCTAGATATAAGGAAGTAATGCTACCCCTCTATTCTGCTTTGGTTAGACCACATCTGGAATATTGTGTCCAATTCTGGGCACCACAATTCAAGAGAGATATTGACAAGCTGGAATGTGTCCAGAGGAGGGCGACTAAAATGATCAAGGGTCTGGAGAACAAGCCCTATGAGGAGCGGCTTAGGAAACTGGGCATGTTTAGCCTGAAGAAGAGAAGGCTGAGAGGAGATATGATAGCCATGTATAAATATGTGAGAGGAAGCCACAGGGAGGAGGGAGCAAGCTTGTTTTCTGCTTCCTTGGAGACTAGGACGCGGAACAATGGCTTCAAAATACAAGAGAGGAGATTCCATCTGAACATTAGGAAGAACTTCCTGACTGTGAGAGCCGTTCAGCAGTGGAACTCTCTGCCCCGGAGTGTGGTGGAGGCTCCTTCTTTGGAAGCTTTTAGAGGCTGGATGGCCATCTGTCAGGGGTGATTTGAATGCAATATTCCTGCTTCTTGGAAGGGGGTTGGACTGGATGGCCCATGAGGTCTCTTCCAACTCTTTGATTCTATGATTCTAAGTGGTTTGCACTACAAATAAGATATGTGCAGTGTGCATAGGAATTCATTCATTTTTTTCAAATTGTAATCCGGCCCTCCAACAGTTTGAGGGACTGTGACCTGGCCCTCTGTTTAAAAAGTTTGTGGACCCCTGGTCTCAATCCTGTATTTGATATCAGAGCTGGTTTTGCCCCTGCGGGTGTTATAAATGCATAATGCTTACTGATGACATTATGACACTATTGAGCATCCAGTATTTGATCAACTAAGCCATCTACAGAAGTCATAACATTGATATACAGTAGAACCTCCATTTAAGAACATCCCAACATTTTGAGTTAAGACATGTTGCTTGGTCCAGGTTTCACTTTGACATAAGAGCAGCACTTTGAGTTAAGAGGTGAGGAGCCCCCAGTGGCGCAGCGAGTTAAACTCTTGTGCCAGCAGGACTCCTAACCAAAAAGTTGGTGGTTCGAATCCGGGGAGCAGAGTGAGCTCCCATCTGTCAGCTCCAGCTTCTCATGTGGGTACATGAGATGGTAAAACATCCAGATGTCCCCTGGACAACGTCCTTGCAGACAGCCAATTATCTCACGCCAGAAGTGACTTGCTGTTTCTCAAGCCACTCCTGATATGAAAAAAGTTAAGAGGGAGTGCTAGTGCAAAATAACAGGGCTTTAGGGCTTCAGAGGAGCAGCCCCTGTCCGTCTGCTATGGGAGATTGCTGTCCGCTTTGTGGAACTTTGCGTTAGTTGATTTTGTGTGGTTTTTATTACTGGTATGTTTGGCTTCTTGAAGAGAGAGAGGGAGAGAAAGCAAGAAAGAGAGGGGGGCTAGAATGAGTACAATATGAGGAAAAGGATGCTTCTGCCTCTTCACTTTGTGCGTCCTTGCCACAATTTTGTGCTCCTACCATTTTAAAGTTGATCTTTCTTTGTTATTATACCATGTGAATGTGCATTATTTGTTATTTATAGACAACAAAAATGGAGTGGCTGGGTCAGGATGCTGGAATGCTAATATCAGGATGCTAATAACATTTCAGTGGGAAAATTTGCTTTGTGATAAGAGCATTTTCAGTTAAGAGCTCGGTCATGGAACACATTAAACTCTTAAATCAAAGTAACACTGTACAGTATTTTTGAAACAACTTGCTGTTTGGCGGCAGTAATTATTTTAACTAGATATCAATTTAATTTTCTTTCTTTTTAAAAAAGTAATCATATTTTGGGTTCCACTTTCCTTTCAGGTCAGTGGAAACAGTGTTGTGAAGAGTTCATGAGAATTGGGATTATGTCACCACGGAAACCACCGTTATTTTTGGCAAAAGAGGCCACTTTGGTTTACCAGGACATGAGTAAGTTTGAGATATGAGTATTGGAAGCAACAATGGATGCAATTTCAGAGGAAGCAATATTGTCTTTGAGTATGTATAACACATTATTTTTGTGAAATAGGTGCTTTCACTTCCTGGGTATTATAGGGAACACATTTCTCTTCTTGGATATTTACAGGGAAAGAATTTTAAATACAGATTAAAAATACCTTTTGATCAGAGTGGCTATGAAATATAACCAGCAACTGCTGAAAATTCAGGAGCGTCTGGATTTTTGAGCAATAATCTGAAGAGAAGTAGTGGAGTTGATATAATGAAAATATTAAAATATCTTATGTAGGTAAGATGTTTATTATTTTCATGATAGGGAAAGAGCTCAAATGCATATGTAGTAGGGCTGGGTAACAACGGAAATATTTGTTTCTAAACTCGTTTCGTTTTTAGGTGGCCCTTGCGTTTGGTGTTTTGTAATAATTCCGAAATTTTCCCTTTTAAAAATTTTGAAATTTCGTAAATTTCGAATTGATTCGTTAATGGCGGACGCGATTGCGCAATACGCTAAAAAAAACCTCCAAATGGGACAGGGGGAACTTCTGAAGCTTCCCTCTCCCTCTGTTGTTGACTGTTGGTGTGATAATTTATTTTTTTATCACTGATAAAACAAACAACAACTATAAAAATTGCACCAGACATACGGAAATAATAACGAAACGATTTCGAACCAATTACGAAACAATTACGAAATAAATTGAAAAATTCGTTTCGATTTTTAGTTGCTCCTGCATGGCTCAATATCGGATCGTAAGCTAATTTAAATACGAATCAATAACGAATTACGAAATTAGCGAACGAAACCGCCCAGCCCTAATATGTAGCAATACTCCCATGGCAGAATTTTTCTAGGAGCATAACATTGCAGTGGGCAAGCTTCCCTTTTCTGCCATCATTTATTTTATAAATTCCCCACCTTATTTTGAAATAAAGAAAACCCCTGCCTGTCTAAGAACAACTGGTTTATCAGAGAGGAATATGGTTTTAACCAAACGAGTATTATTTATTATTTATTTATTTGCGACATTTATATGCCGCCCTTCTCACCCCGAAGGGGACTCAGAGAGGCTTACAAGACATATATACATAAAATATATTAAATTATTAGCATAGTACAATATCAGTATTAAATATTACTATATTGTACTATACCATTATATTGTAAAATTATTAGTAGTATTACATGTAATATAAATATATAATTATAATATATTATTATTAGTATTATATTGTATCACATTATAATACTATAAATATTGTAATTTATGGCATTTACCATATATTCCGGGGTATAAAACGACTGGGGCTATAAGACGACCCCCCCCCCCAATTTTAGCAATCAAATTGAGAGTTGAGGATATACTCGCCATTTAAGACGACTCCCCAAACCAGACGCTTCTCAGGCCGCTCTCCTTCTTCCTGTCCTGGCCTCGCGCCAAGTGTCTCTTCTCCTGCGAGACAACATATATACGGTATATGCCGCCCTTCTCAACCTTAAGGGGATTCAGAGCGGCTTACAAGATATATATACATACAATACATTACATTTATTGTCGAAGGCTTTCATGGCCGGAATCACTGGGTTGTTATAGGTTTTTTCAGGCTATATGGCCATGTTCTAGAGGCATTCTCTGACGTTTCACCTGCATCTATGGCAAGCATCCTCAGAGGTAGTGAGGTCTGTTGGAACTAGGAAAAAAAGGGTTTATATATCTGTGGAATGACCAGGGTGAGACAAAGGACTCTTGTCTGCTGGAGCTAGGTGTGCCATACAAGCATATCAGAGTAAAGGATTAAGGGATTTTAAACTTTAAAGAAGTACTCTGTTGATGATGCTAAGGAGTCCAGGAGTATGGTACTGTTTTATATTGTATATTGTAATTGTGTCCTTGGTGGCATTGAATTCTTGCCTTGTAAACCGCCTCGAGTCACCGGAAGGCTGAGAGGGGCGGTATAGAAATGTACTAAATAAATATTGTTTGAGTTGTGTTTGAAGTGGTCTAAATGTGTATCAACAGCCAAATATAGTCAGTGAAAGCTTTGCTTAAATACCAAATTGCATTTTTAAAGAAACTGATTAGTCATGGATGTTCATCAAACTGAAAAAAATCTCCTTGACCGGTATTGGCATTCAATAGAATTCATCCTTCTCCCCGGTGAGGATGCAGAACACATTAAAATTTAATGAACAGGTAAAATAGATTAACCTCCTGCTGCTGGGTTTACAAGGTAAACTATCCCACTTTTTAAAAGCCAGCTGTACACTGGGCAGTAAAAAAGATAATTACCTGCATCCATAGTCTTATGATGTACATTTCCCTGCTCAGTTTGCTATGGTGTAATTTTTGTGCAATAGTCGAAAAATTTCTACTGCTACGTCCAAGTCTCAGGTGTTGAGGTTCATAAAGGAAATGTGTGCATTGATTGCTTGAACCATTGCTTAGGTGATAAAGTTTAAGGGCTGTGGTTATCATTGTAGTTAAGTAATCATCTAATCAGGATTTTGTGTTGTCTTTTGAAATACAATAGGCATTGATTCTCCCATAAAGCACGAGGCGTTAATTGACACCGTGCAGAGAAACAGAGAGGAAACCAATAGAGCGTTGGTGGTTAGCCAAGAAGAAACGTATGCACCTCCTTCCTGGGCTGCCATGTTTGATGGTTCTCATCACATGTTAGTGCAGAAAAGCACACCTCCAGAAACAAATGTGTGGGGTGTAAACGTGAATGAGGGGAAAGGCAAAAAGAGAAGAGCACCCCCTCCGCCCTCCGACAAGCCACCAGATGCCTTGAAAGCTCAGATGTCTGATCGAAGGAGTAAGGAAAACATTGGGAATCTTTCTCCTGTCATGCGTAGGGCCTGTTCTTCCGATTCCAGCTCATCTGCTGTGCTTCATTATAAGCAACCATTTGCAACATCTCCCAAACCAGCTCTTTATCAGAAAGGTACCTTTACTGATGATGAAAACCCTGTTCTCCCAGCTACTAAGGTTATCTGTGATGATAAGCCTATTCCTGCTCCTAGGAAGAAATCACTGAAAGAGAAGCTTGATCCCAGATCCCATTTGCAGTCCCTGGTCTAGCTTGATCCTGCTCAGAATGAGGAAGAGAAAATTCATTAGTTGTGTTTACAATTGTATCATGGACCAAACAAAGTCTTTCATCTGGAGGTGTTTGAAATATTTTTTCATCATACAGTCAAAGACTTTATAATGGGTAACCACTCCTACTGTCACAAATTTTGCTCTGCTTGTCAGTATCAATGTTGTGAACAGATTCTTCAACAGATACTAATCACTAACTTTAAAACAAAAAACAAAACCCGGTAATCATCTCATAAGTTTAAATTGTGCTTGTCTCCAAAATGTCTGCATGATCTTTTGTAAGATATACATAAAATTCTTCTTTGTGTTGGTGGAGGGTCGTCTTGCAAAAATCTAGAGGACCCGTTGTTTTCTAATCCAGGGTATTCGTATTTTTGTTCTCCTGGATTGAATTTACAAAAGCTGTTATAAAAAGGCAAACGCTCCAGGCCTGCTTGGCTATGGTCCCTTTAGTTTTTCTATTCTTGCCACTTTCTTTAGCTCTAACCTTCTCCACTCTTGACTCAAAGGTACGAAGCTAGAGATTGGAGGACGTTCTGTGAACCAATCATTCTCAAATGGGTTTTGAGATGGTTGCTGAGGATTCGGCTAAAAAATCCCTCTTTCTGTCCCTTCTTTTTTGGTTTTTGTGATGTTCATGTCACTTTATATTATGGCTCTATTCTGTCAAGAACTCCCAAATTATGTAGCTGAACCTACCTGGAGAACTAAGCACATGCAGAGTCTTCAGGTTCTCCATTTAAAAATCCTATGGTTTACTTACCACTTTGAATTCCATATCTGACTTTTATTCATGGGGTACCTTGAACTGACTCTGGTTTTGAACCCCAATTAGAATAGACCATTGGACAATGGGAACTTGTAAGTCATCTTTTAATGTCAGTTGTGTTGATATAATGGCTCTGTTCTAGTTGAGAATAATAGTTGGGTTAATTTATGATATTTATGTTCCTATTACAACATTTTCAACAAAACATGTGAATATTACTTTGTGTGATGTGCTTGGTGCATCACACAAAATGGCCATGGGACTGCCTCTCCCCTTCTTAAATATTAGCACCTGGATTTAATTCTTAAATTGTCAGGCAGTGCGGGGAGAAGTTACTTCTTTTATCTTCTTTTATCTACAAAACTGATAGACCAGTGCTTCTCAACCTGGGGTCCCCAGATGTTTTTGGCCTACAACTCCCAGAAATCCCAGCCAGTTTACCAGCTGTTATGATTTCTGGGAATTGTAGGCCCCCAGGTTGAGAACCACTGTGATAGACTCTAGATCAGTGGTTCTCAACCTGTGGATCCCCAGATGTTTTGGCCTTCAACTCCCCGAAATCCAAACAGCTGGTAAACTGGCTGAGATTTCTGGGAGTTGTAGGCCAAAACACCTGGGAACCCACAGGTTGAGAACCACTGATCTAGATGAACTGTTTACACAATCAGCTTTGGAAAATCAAACACACAGGGATCAAACACATATTCATTAGTATCTTTGGTAAATTCTGTACTACAAGCAGAAACAAAATGTAGAAAGAAATGGCAGCTGACTACTATTTTATTTAGTTATAATGAATTTTAAATATGGATGATGATGTAGATTTATTGAACGTGTTGATATAGTGTTGGAATAATATTTAATCAGGTACGGTTTTAGTGTGTGTGTTTGTTTCTTATGTTGTGGAGTTTTGTGTGCGTGATACACCTTGCAGTATCTCTGGTCTCGTGTTCACCTGTTGTTTTCTTTAGACATTCTTAGAGAGACAGACTAAAGATAATGTAGCAGAGGGTTAGTATGACATTAATGCTGTCTAATCCCTTAATGAGTATAGTAGAATCCTTTTAATTGGCATATTCCTGCTAGCAGTGGGGAGTGCCAATTAAGCAATCTTCTCAATTTTAAGACTCTCAGGAATATGCTGAGCGTATTGATATCTGCTTTTATTCCATGCCTTGAACTACAGATTAGCTGTGTGCCATGCATTCCAAATTCCTGTGCTTTTATTTGATTAGCAAGCTGCAATAGCACAGTGAAGCTCCATTAAATATGTCCACAGAGGGAACCTTGCTTTAGCAAATTCAGTTCTAAAGCGTTGGCAACTGTGACTGATCTTGCAAGGCAGCTCTTAGCCACAGTTTATTCTCTAACATTAATTATATTCAGGGGGATTTTAAATTCTCATTCTCCAGCTATTGTATTTTTCTATCTGGCGGTGGTAGTAATATTTATCTGCAGTACAGAATTCTGAGGTAATGCAAAAATACCTTGTTTATGTGTTGACAGGATGTCAAAACACAGCTTAATAGATTTTTTTAAAATATCAAACGAATCTGTCGAATGTTTCCTATTGTCTCGTTTACATGCACTTTGATTCCCAGATACTTCAACAATGTAGTGACAAGCAAGCATGGAGGATTCTGGGAGATATTGTTCGTAGAAGTAACTTTTCCAAACTCTGGTCTCAATTTTATAGTTACAGAATGGCCTGATGTCATATGACACAGTATATTGAAAGTTGTGATTCTACAATAATAATAATAATAATAATAATAATAATAATAATAATAATCTTTATTTCTACCCCGCCACCATCTCCCCAAAGGGGACTCGGAGCGGCTTACATGGGGCCAAGCCCGAACAAGAATTACAATATAACAATACAAATTGCAATCAAATAAACAACGTAACAGTAAAATATAAAACTTCAAAGCATATAAAACAATATACACAAAACATAGGAACTAAACATAATGACAGACAAAGGGCGGGCTGCATGTACATAAAATAATTTTAAAATTCCAGGTGAGATAAGGGGGGAGAACTAATTGTAAGGGCGAACTCAGAGAGATAGGGAATTGAGCCAACCTTCATTTTTTGGGGGGGGGGGGCTCCTGGGACAAGAACATTGGAGGAGCACTAGCATAAAATTATGTGGCTACTCTTCGAAAGCGCGACGGCAGAGCCAGGTCTTAAGACTCTTTTTGAAAGTTTCCAAGGTAGGGCCTTTCCTAATCTCTCCGGGCAGTGAATTCCAGAGTCAGGGGGCCACAGAGGAGAAGGCTCTCTCCCTTGTACCCACAAGGTGAGTCTGAGAGACTGGCAAGGGCGAAAGGAGGGCCTCGCCCGAAGATCGAAGGGTATGGGCTGGTTCATGGAGAGAGATACGGTCACGAAGGTAGGCGGGTCCCAAACTGTTTAGGACTTTATAGGTAAGAACCTGTACCTTGAATTGGGTCCAGAAGATGAACGGCAGCCAATGGAGCTCTTTAAACAGGGGGGTTGATCTCTCCCTGTAAGTTGCCCCAGTTATTAATCTGGCTGCCGACCGTTGGACAAGTTGTAATTTCCGGGCCGTTTTCAAGGGTAGCCCCATGTAGAGAGCATTGCAATAGTCCTGTCTAGAGTTAACCATGGTCAAGTCAGACTTCATGAGGTATGGTCGCAGTTGGCGCATGAGTTTTAATTGTGCAAAGGTTCTCCCGGCCACCGCCGATACCTGTGCATCAAGCGACAGCGCTGAGTCCAGGGGAACCCCCATACTGCGGACCTGTGACTTCAGGGGGAGTGGAATCCCATCCAGCACAGGTTGCCACCCAATACCCCGATCAGACGGGCGACTGACCTGGAGGACCTCTGTCTTGTCAGGATTGATCCTCAGCTTGTTCCTCTTCATCCAGATCGTCACAGCAGCCAGGCACTGGTCCAGTGTCCCTGGGGCTTCCTTGGAGTGGAAGTGAGTAGTGGAGTTGGGTGCCATCTGTGTAGAGATGACACCATACCCCAAAATCCGGATGACCTCTCCTAGCGGTTTCATGTAGATGTTAAAAAGCATGGAAACTTGTAAAAGGTTAGAGGTTTAGAACAAACAAGAGGCTCTGTGGATTTTTTAGTTTCACCAAGGGCTAAAATTAGTTAGGGTTTACACACACTGCATGAATACAAGACAGAAAGTACAATATAAAGTGCCTAGAGGCTTACTCTGCTCCATCTGCCTGTCATAACCTTGCAAGTTGGCCCAGAGGTCCTTTCACTTGTTTGAAATTTCAGTGCTACCATAGATCTTACCTGTTAGGGAAATGACTTGTGGGATTGTGGGTGTGGAAGGCAAGCTCTAAAAGTATACTTCTACACCCATTTAAGATTTGATGCAGCAGGTACCTGCCATCATGCATAGTCTGATTCATAGGCTCAGTAGAGTTCAAATAACAATACTGGATAACAATACATCCCTTGTTCCCCAATTCTGTCATAAAAAGGAAAATGGAATGTATGTCCCAATCTTTGCCACCTTTACCTGGGCATGGATTTTCTTTAGAGATGATGGTATCAATTTAGTTCATAGTTTAGTATGATCCAACCTAATTTGCACTTCCCGAATGCTGGGAAACAATAGTGCTTTTGCCCCGATATATTGTCCCAATCCTTGTCCTGTGCTTGATTTAAATGCATATCAAAATGCAAACAGTAAGGAGAATTGCCAACAAAAAAGGCTTATATTAGGAGGAACGGCCTGCCAAAATTCACATATTAGGGGAAATTGCCCACAAAAATGATAAATTTTCTTGTAGATGAGTGTGCAAATCATTTTATGTGCAGTTTTGGAAATGCACTAACCACAGGATTAATAGAATACAGTGGATTCTATACTTAAGAGAAATTGCTAATATTACAGAAATTAGATAGGCAGTCATCCATCTTCTCTTTTCATATCACATCTACATCCCAGGATAGAATCAGGAATTAAGGTTGCAGCACTTGGGCGGAGGGCATCACACTTACGATTGCTTTTAAACACATGCTGTCCCTGTGATAAGGAGCATATGGAGTGCGTGTGTGCTGAGACTCCTATTATATTGAGTTCTCTTTCTGGTAAGGAATAGTCCTTACTAGGAGCTCCATTTATATAGCAACTTCCTCATCAACATCAGGAGAAAAACATTAGTAGAGGACTGAGGGAACTTTTTGAGTTCCCTCAGTTTTAGGCTACAACACATCGAGTTAGGTACTTCAGACCATGCTAGGAAATGTAGACCAAAGCATCCAGAGAACCAAAGGTTTCCCACTCTGTATGTGTCTGATAAGGGATTGCTTCCCTTATCAGAAATGCAATAAAGCAGCTTGCTTGAAGCAAATAGCCATGCTAACTCAGCTCTGAATGGGAAAATAATGCCAAGTAATTTTTTCCATCATTGGGAAAAGTCAAGCTTTCATAGCACTTAGCCTGCGATAATATAACCTGCTAAGCTGGGGATAGGTCCCATTGACTTCCATGGGATGTACTTCTGACATGCATGTGATCACAGTGTTTTTCTTTAAGATGATGGGAGGAAAAGCCATGTCCATCTTTCAGAATAGAGGATGTTTCTGTTCTTTTTTCTAGCTGTGTCTGTTAGTCCCTAAAGTGCTAGATAAGATGCCCAGGGTGGGACAAAGGACTCTTGTCTGCTGGAGCTAGGTGTGAATGTTTACAACAGCAAAACAACAGAGAGGAAACAATCTGGGACATCCAATCACCTCTCAACAAAAGATTGCCCCAGGCACTGCCAGGCCATCAAATGCTAATCAAAGTGGTCAGTTGAAACATTCAACTGTCCCACCCTGGTCATTCCACAGATATATAAACCCCTTTTCCTAGTTCCAACAGACCTCACTACCTCTGAGGATGCTTGCCATAGATGCAGGCGAAACGTCAGGAGACAAGGTCACAATTGTGGGCAATTGCTGGGGGAATTTGCAATGGATCATGGTGAATCCAGCCAGGGGCAAGGAGAACCCTCACTTTCCCTCACCCTATCCCACAAGGAAGAAGTGTTGCCACATGTCTTGTCTATGCAACACGGGAAGCCCTGCTGGAAGTAGATCGACATCATGTGATGGCATCTGGTGGGTTCCATGCCTGAAGTGAGGTCGAATTGTCCCAAGATAGGCAATTTTGCCCATGTGATGAAGTCAACAGAATGTGTGTTGGACAATTGCTAGATT